ACCACGAAACGACGAGAAGTACATTGGGGTTAATGGGAGTCCCTCTCGCGTTTGGACTCACCGTTGAATAAAGATGAGCTTACACGTAGCGCCACATCGGATTACATTGACACGCACAGAATAATGTTTAATTTGTATAAAACAGATAAAACAGATTGATTTTTCTCTTGTTTACATTATTGTTTAACCTAACTGTAAATACATTAAAGACATAAAGACCCAATGTGAAATGACATGTTGAAAAATTGCAATAAATAGTCGCAACGATTTTGCGCCAATATATTCGACGAATACATTTATGTTTTACAAAATCACGGAAATTATTTTCTTAAAGGTAAACAATATATAATAAATATATATAAAAATTTATTTTCATGTATAATCAGATGTAATTAGATAAGCTAAAGCTCACCTCTCAGATATTCTCTTAATAATATTTCTAATAATTCTAGGCATTAATGCTATTAATTCCACCGTTAATTATGTACGTTACAAGAAGATTAAGATGTAATTTACTTGATATGGTATACGATGTTCGGCACGGCACTCCGGACATTTGACCTGTCGACGAACATAGTCGACAAGGCCGTCCATGCATGGTTCCATGCAAAAGCTGTGTTGACATGGCAAGAGCTTCGGATTTCTATATCGATCCAGGCATATTGCGCAGGTTAGCAGCTGCTCGAACTGCTCCATGCCTAAAAAGAGAAAACTCTTTTTCAATCTTATCTGAGCTTTACATACATTGGTGTCATAAAACACAATAAATTATATATGTTATATTAATGTACTATTCCTCGACAGAATCCAATTGATTGATCAACATAAATTGACAAATTTTTTTATTTATGGAATATATAATATAATAATATACAGTATCTAATAAATATTTTTTAATAAAAAAAACATGATGAAAATGTTATAAGTACTTTTTATCGTATTTACTGCGCTTATAAATAAATTTAAAATTATATATGTATATATATATATATTTTGTTAGATAATTTATATATTTAAAAATATCTTTTTATTCAATATTAATACACCTAATTTTAATATAATTAGTTTTAGATAATTATGACAGAGAAACAGAAATTGAGAATTTTCGCAAATACATTATTAAGTATGTTATTTCACCGAAATTTTAAAGTCATACGCATTAAAAGAAATGACGTCTAATGTTTAATGCGGGTGCGAAAATATTTCAATGTATTTCGATATCTTGCGTTATTCAATTCTCCTCTCATCCATCATAGTTAATAAATAGATTATATGAGTATATTGACTACAATCTGACAGCATTTCAAAATTCGAATGCTGCCAAAATCTTATCTAGCCATGTGTTAAACGATTCAGGAAACGACAGTTTATTCACGTTGATCATGTTCTTGCATTAGTCATGTAACTTGATTGATATTTATACATTCATACCAATACACATTTTTTTCGCAGTCTATCCCAGAACTTACAAAAGATAAAGTTGCAAATACTGGTATACGTAATACTTTTAATTTATTTTTAATGTTATCGATTAAATTATATTATTAATGACAGGCTTTAGCCAATCTGCATTTATCATACATGTATTCTACTTACAAAATAATGAATTCATTATTTCGCTAATTAGTAATTGCACACACAATTAAATTACGAAATCCATGTTCAAGTTTCGTGATACAACCTTGCTATTCTTTTTCAATGACAAATGTAATATATATTATAGATGCCAAGACAATGTCAAGATCTTTGTGGAGTCATTGCACTTCTATTTTAAGATACGATGCATCATCAGCGTAAATTTGGTAGTAAAGAGATGGGTAAAGTCAGAGGGCAAGCCTGAAAATTTCTCGCGACGCAAATTATGCCGACTCTTCGCCGTAATTAAATCGCGATTGCGAGTGCATTGTTAATCAAGGAAACTTATTTCTTTTATTCACAAAACTCACAAAAGTTTCGACAAAAAGAATCCCTGGTCAAAAGAATAAAAACTATAGTAATTAAATATTTATCAATAATGTAATTTCTTATCTGTAATCCGAGCAACTCAAGATCATAAATTGTATAATTCAGTCTTGACAGATTTGAAAGATATTATAAATATTTGTCACTCCGTGACAAATATAATATCTAATTACCGAAATTTATTGATTGTGATAAAAATAGTTTTGTGAGATTCGTAATCACCGTGCTTAATAGCATCAGATTGTGATGTATTATTGGCCACTTACAATGTCCAAATTGAAATGAGTAGAATTACAGATCGGAAACCGCGGCAACCGTAATAAATATTTGAACGTCGCTAATGAGTGAATGATTACCAATGCAATCCACGAATTAATTATCGCGCCTGTGTGAGGCGCGTAGTAGACGAGATAATCTCGATTAACGCGATACGAATGTTTTATTTAGCGCGATAGCATATTCAGCAAAAATACTTTATAACATTATTCCTGATATTATAGATTTAATCATAACATTTAGCTCAAGTAAATTTAAATAAATTAATAATAATTTTAACTTAATTTTCTTTTCTTTTATTTTCTTCTTCTCTTTTCTATTATTTCTGTTAATTATAAGCCTTTCTGACTCTTACTTTTTAAATATAATAAAAAACAAAGATATTAAACCTGCATTTTTTATATAAATTTTTTACCTTTCATATCACAAGATTTCTTATCTATGTAATAAATTATTTAAGTTATTCCATTATTAATGTACATCAAAATTATTGATTTGGAAAATTATATCCAATACACGTAATTCGATTTGAAGATTTACAATTATGACGCACATGAAGAAAATATCTGAAATTCTATAAAAATTTACGAGGTCTATCTAATTTCTTTTTCTATTACGAGAACACTCGATCAATGTCGATTCTAATTCCATGAAATCCAGGCTTATTTCAGATCCGCTCCTCTCCTAAAGCATCCGGTGTTCTGTCGCTTCGACGACGCCAACGCAAACATTTGTTCGTCACCAAGTTAGTTTAGTTAAAAATATTGCATCATGTCAAATATTGTATCAAAATGTTCGGATATTCTCGGAAAAGACATTCGAGCTTTAAAATTTTCAACGTGATTCTACTTCATCAATATTTTCCAAATATAACTCTCATCTTCTATTAAAAACTTTTTATTGTATTTTATTTTATTATATTTTCACGTTATGAAAAATGTATTTTGTATAGAAAGTTATATTACGCAAAAGTTAAATCTTTCACATACTTCGAAACAAAACTAATACTTTTTTTCATACGCATTCTGTATTCCGTGAATTAAAATTGCTCATATATGTTTCACCGCATGTACGCAATAACTTCAATCATATATTTTCGCAATTAACTCGGCTTGAACGGTGAGTCAAAAATTTATAAATCTTAATGGCACTCTCGATCGCGAACAATTAAACTCGATCGTACGGATACACGCGCGGTTTCCTCCCAACGAACACAAAGTTCGGGCGGGGGGGGGGGGGCGGATAAATTTAAGTGACGCCGAATGCACGCGCGGGACGCACACGCGTGCGTCAATATCGCACGAGGAGCGGCTCAAAGAGATTGAAACGTTAGCGAATACGTAGGCAGAAGTCGAGCCAAATTCGTTTTTGGCTTTCGCAAGTCCCTCAAGCGCTGACGTTGCCGACGTCGAAGGTCGCCACGTCGAGGGCCGATCGCGCTTCCGAGCCGACACAATGGCAAAAGCTAGTACATTAGGAAGCATTGTTACTCTCAGACGAACCACTTGTTGGATCTTAAAGCGAACTCTCCCCCTCTCGCCTCCCTCACTCTTTTTCTCCGTATGTACGTCGGGGGGGGGTGCAACAGGCGGTGAGCAACGATTGTATTAGCAACTTTCATGGGCGTTGCCATGAGGATGAAACGGGATGCTAATTCTGACACTTTGACTGTGAATCTCGAAACTTTACCGAGATTCTCCCCTCCTTCTCCTGGGAGATGTCCGCTTATATTATTAAAGCCTTCGTCTTACCACGCTTTAATTTGTATCATTATATTTCGTGAAACTTCTAGTTGCTCTCTCTTTCTTTCTCTTTGATAAAGTCCTCGGTGGCTTAATGATTCTACTATTTTTACCTTAGAAAACGTGAACGTAATAATCTGTTATTGTCTGTTATTGTCTGTATTTCTTTTCTGTATTTCGTCTGTTTTCGGGATATTTCATGAGATCATTTGTAACAGTGAAAGATTTCCTTATATTATTATACTTAAAATTAAATCGCGCCATTAATTTTACTGTATTCTTATAATTAATTAAGACATGGTCTTCAAGTATATTTAAATTTTAGAATTATTAATATTTCATTTTATTTATATTATTAATATAAAGTTATCAGATAATGCACGAAGAGAACAGTTTTGCTGACAAATGCTAACTAAAAATTTGATCAGATATAGATTTCAAAATAAAATTTCGCTGGCTCATCAAAATTATTATATAGGATGTTTAAATATAATAATACCACAAACATTTTTTTATCTTCTAGCAACCTAGCAATTTGAATGTCATATATAATAATTTTGAAGATCCAACAAAATTATTATCATTATCTGTATTTAGCCAAATTTTAAATTTACCAGCAAAATTATTCTTTCCTTTGAGTACATATAATAATGCGATATTAATAGTTTGTAATATTGCGCAGATGCGCAGTCTTATTCCTTGTTTAAAGCACAATGAGCGCATCGCGTAATGCAGATTCGGAAATTCCGAGTGTCGTACGTTCGCGAAACGAGGCTGCACGTGGCGCATCATTATTCTCGTGCAGCAAAATAAACAGCGTCGCGAATGATTCAGCTTTTTCCTTTGTCCATACGCCGCAGAATTTGCAGGCGTCATTTCAAAAGAAGAGTATTTCAGGTTGTCTTTTCTAATATATCCGTGGAATATATACGCGCTGTAATTGAACACCGAAAGAGAGAGAGAGAGAGAGAGAGAGAGAGAGAGAGAGAGAGAGAGAGAGAGAGAGAAAATCACAAAAAAGACTATATAAGACATAAATATCTAATATTAATATATATAAATATAAATGTAAATATAAATATAAATATAAATAAATATAAATATATTTATATAATATATTTATTCAATAATATTAAATACTTATTTATGTTAACATTATCTTATTTATGTAATATTGCCTTTAAATGAATTTGAAAAATGGTTTTAAATTTCAATGAGTGAGATATAAAATCTGTTTAGGATGAAATTGAGTTGTGGATTGAAGATTTTTGGACTTGTGACAATTCTTCTGCGCGTGAATTTGACAGATTAGTATGTGTAAATTTACAATCTTGAGTTATTATAGTGGGAACTATCGCGTCCCTAAATTCGGTGAATCTAATGACCGGTCTAGATTCTGAATGATCACGGAGGATCTGCACCTGCGTCTAATCAACGAATCCTAAATTGCTCATAGAGCGACGGGCATGTCGAATAATTTCTCCCGCCGCGTTGCACAGCATGTAATTTGTGTAGCGACTAATGTCTCGTAATCCCAAGCGTGCTCGTTCTGATGCAAACGAAGAGGATAAATCTCCCTAATTTCGTTCGGACGGACAGTGACATTAAGGACACCAAACATATTTCCGTATTTTGAAACCAAAATGAGGAACCTGCATGCACATCCTTTAAAATTCGTTCGACGATGTTATTCACGCTAGATGCATTTTCGAGAGACACGTTTGTGTTTCCAGACTCGAAGACAATCTTTTCCTAACTAAACTTTACGACAAGGCTCGCTTTAGATCGGAGTCGCCAATACACATTTATTTAAATCAATATCTTCACTACGTATCTTTATCCCACATAAATGATTCTCACAGTATTACTCTACCTAACGAATGAATTATCAATTTAAATTTAAAATCTCTTGACTGAAGCGAAAGATTTCTTCCATCTCCAAAGACCCAATTTCTCGCACAAATAACTATATATAAAACTAATTAAAAATTAAATCAAATTTAAATACCCATTCGTCGCAATTAAGTATAAGCGTTATCCCGAGCTGAGCACAGTTTCACGTTTCACAACGCGATATCGAGGCACTACCCTTCTTGACGACGATACGCCGTGGACTGATCACAAATTTTTTCGATCTTCGATTTTCGCTCTCGTTTCAGCTTGCGGCTCGCACGAGGCGTTATCGATCATCTGAGCCACGTGTCACGATTGGTGCCAATAGCAATGACAAGGCGACAAAATACTCGGCATTTGTCGCGAACAAAGGATCACTTCCGACGAGGATGCGATCGCGAGCCACCGTTTAGAACGTTCTGGATCGTCGTCGGTGTCTCTGGAATCGGTCGGTTTACACGAGATCCAGTATACTGACACTTCCCGACGTCACCGGCCAGACTTATGCTCGCTCGGCGCGAGCTATACTTAGCCGAGAGGACCTTCGATTTCCGACGGCTCGTTTTCGACGAGCGATCTTCGGTGAAAAGCACACAAAATATACCGAGCGCACGAATTTGCTATCGGAAAATTTCAAACTAATTTGCATTCTAATTTGCTTCATCCCTCTGCTTTCTCTAATTTGCATTTCTAGAAAGATCTTTGCATTCTCCTTTCGCACATCGTAAAAAGATTACAAAATCGTGAATGTTACCATCAGTTTATTAGGTTGCGCCAGTACTAATTATTGTAAGAGATAAATTACTATTTTACCAATCAACTTGTTAAACAATAAATCTGAGAAGAATGTAAAAAAAAATGGTTCATTTTCATACTACAGGTTAAAAATTCTATGGGGATTTCCAAACAAGGGTTTAATTAATTATTAGTTTATAAATCACGCGAAATCGTTATTGCAAAATACTGGAATTCAGCATATGATGATCTTCCTTTGCTCGGACGTATATGCAATACTTAAGTAAATACGAAAATGTTTTTCGATTAAAGTAGAGCATATTGACGCTGATGCCAGTAATAATTAGCGGCACGGCATTGTTCTGGCTGGAAGCACGAAATAATGAATTCGATAGCCGATTTCCAATTATCCGTTTTATAGAAACAGAATGACATAATATGCGTAACGAGGGCCGTTTAATAATCGTTCCTGCTTAATGTCAACATTAATATGCATTCCGTCGGGATGGATCAACGGAAATTCCTATTCAATCTGCCGGCGTGGCGAGCTGCAATAGCTGCTGCCAACAATATTGCGTCAAATGGCGCAAAAGCGTTGCGATACCATTTTCTTGTCAATTGATATAAATATATAACCGCGTGGCAAAATATCTTAAACACTCAATTGTTGCCCCGTGACCGTAAATACGTTTTTCCTGGACAATTTTCACATATTACTTATCCCTCTTTTTCGATTTTTGGGGGGGGGGTCCATATCAACCAATGTCTAATCCAAATAATCGGGTGATGACCTCGTGGAAAAAGAAACATCGATAGGAAATCGAACTTTCAGTGGGGTCGTTTCCCATTTGTACGCACAGCGGATTGGACGGAATTATCGGACCGTGCACACAGAAAACTCCATTGACAGAAAACATCGGATCCGCCCTTTCATTTCCAAATAAGCTTTTCCGAAATACCGAAAAAGTTGAACGTAAAATTTTACATTCGCGCAAAGTTATTTGTGATAGAAATCTAACACAAAGAGACAAACGCACGGTGCACGATCGACAGGCTTTGAACACAACAGTGCAACTCGCTTGTTTTAAGCATGTAAAAATTTAATATTACAGCTGACGATATTAAATTCAGATTAAGTAAAATTGCGCTAAACGCTCGAGAAGTCGGGCTAAATTACCATCACCCTGTACTATCTAATTGCAAAAGGAGGAAGGCGGATCGTTGATCTAAAATCCCCCCCACGTTCGTGCACGAAATAGCGGTCGACCATCACGACGCTCGGCTATATTTAGACCTCCGTGCGTTATCCAGCACCGCTTATTTTCAACGCGATCTTAGAATAGCGACACGACGAAGCGGTTTATCGACCAGAGCTTTTCTCACGCTGGCAAGACAGTTTTCTACAGCCGGAATTATCCGGCCGGTTTATAAGCTCGCCTGTAACCTCGTTTCCGCGAAAATTTAACGATAACTACAATTTTGTGCGCCAGAAGGTGCCACTCCCTACGTGAGACGTTTACCACCGCATTTTTCCCCCGCGATGCATTTGCATCTTATGTTCACCCTAAAAAGCGTCTCTTCCTGTGTCCTCGGAAAATAGATTTTCTGATAGAAAATCCCGAAATCTCGACTTTTTGGCTCAACGTGCAGACTACTAGCAAATGCAACTGTATATATTCGGCTTTTTTATTCGAATAGGTTGCCTTTTTTTTATCATTAAATAGAACTGTTATTACATTAGATGCGTGGATTTTGATAAATTATCAAAAATAATTATAAAACTTATCATAGTATCAAAATCATATAAAACTTGCTTTTTAAAAAACTATATATATATAATTTTTTTATCTTTTAGTTCCGAGTGTCCGTGAAAAGTCGAAAAATTACAGAATATTTGAGAGAGAAAAATATTACCTTAGAGACATTTATGTAGTAGGAGAGGAGAAATTTCTTGCGGTTTGCAAGTCCAGCGAAGTGACAGCGATCTAACGTAATAAAGCTGATATGAGTTAGGAGCATGCTGATACGCAAAGTTGAAAATTCGCGTTCATCAAGAGGAATAAAGTCACAACGGTTGGACTTGCCGAAGGATGGAGTTTTTTCACGCGTTCCGGTTTCATATTCATCATGGATCCGATTCCCCTAAGTTTTTCCGAATCTTCTGCATTTAAACTCGCCGCCCGTGGCGAGTTCTGCCCTGCAGTCCTGCACTCTTTAAATCTTCTTTCTTATTGCCGTGTGACGCAGCGAGGTTTTCTCCAGAGTGCATCCGACCTACATGTTACATCCTCGAGCCGGGGACTTTATGAGATTGCAACGTCGGTTGTTTACATTTATTTTTCGTACAATAAAATCCTGAGCGCAGTCCGATAGCGCGGAACGATTTTGCGAGCATTTATTTATTTCGTTACTATCTATTAAACGTTTTGTTTTATCGTGCAATTTATCGCTCCCCTCCGGCATTTAATCTGAATAGCCAAAATCGGTCGGAGGATGATGAACGATAAATGAGCTCGAGAGAGTGTGTTGATTTATCGCTGACTTTTTACTTCGTCTTGCCGTTCTTCTTAACTTTCTCATCAAGCCTCGATTTTGCGCTTCCCGTTGCTTGCCAATGACGTAAAGTGTTTTTGTACTACTTTGTCGTTTTATTTCAATGAAAAACTTTCGGTTTTTCTTAACAAAGTAAACTCTCGGGTGTACCGATCCTAATTACCCCGGTGATCCGTATTGTCTCGTTTTTCAGCATGCAATACGCGTATCGTGTTAGTGGCATGGAGTACTTGAAGTACTTCGTGTTTACTGCGGGTTCGTCTCCAATAATTAGATTCCTACGGAACTTTTAGTCCAGTTGCTTCGCTTTTGTTATCGCAGGTAGAAATTTCGTCAGAAGTCAACGTCGGCTTCTTAAGTTCCGAGTTAACGTTTAATTATAATAATAATAATAATCCGGAAAGTGCACTTTGCAATATTGAGATTGTCGTTTCGAGCAAATTAAAAAAAAATACGAGAACCGTATTGTAGATCTGAGTTTTGAAAACTTTACTAATGATGCCATTATCCAACTAACAATTCTGAAAGTGCACGTGCAAGTTTTCAAAAATAATTAGGTATAATAATAACAGTAATATAATAATGACAGTTATAATAACCAAAGAAATTTCACATTAGGGAATACACAGACATTCGTTACTTAGCTCGTAAACTAAGGGAAATTTCGCTTCTTTATGGATCTCTAAAGTAATACTTTTCCCTTAAATTTTCTAAAAAGTTTTTAACTCTTCGTTGATATACGGCAAATTTAGAATTTAAAACTTTGGAGGAAAATAAATAAAAAATAAGACATATGCTTCGCGAGAAACGAGAAAAAAGTAGGAAAGAGCAAAGTATTTCTTATATAAAGAGAAATGTTAAGTGTCCAATATGATTTACAGTCTCTCTTCATTTCCGCATTTTTAAGTATTTTACGACAAGTAAAAGGCGAGAGGAAACGCGTAATAAAAAAGAAGAAAATAATATCTCATCGCCGCTACGATGCGCGGTGGTTTCACAATCAAGTACCATTTCTCGCGGATGCGTGGATAAAGTTATATTATTGCGGCGGCGATCCGGCGGGAAAGAACGGCGTTATCGGGAAGAGGAAACTTTGTGGAAACCGATTAAAAAGTTTGAAAAGCCGTTTTGTGCTGAGTGGAACGCGCCAAGTGGCGGAGGGGCGGGCAGAATTTTATACGACTTGATTAATATAAATTAATTACCACGACGGAAATGAGACACCGAGGAGAGGCGCCCGGATGACGGTCTTTCGAAATCAAATCATTGGAAATAGGCCGATCGATCGCGTTTAATTAAATACAATGATACCGGAATCGCCGCGGGAGCGTTCCCGCTTGATGCCGGAAATCTTTCAGCCGTGCGAATCGCCCGCGATTTTATTATATCCCACGGCCCGTTTTAATAATTCACAATGACGACAAACTGAATAATGGAATATTATAACACACGTCTTTTCCCCGATAATAGCGAGTCTCCTCGGCGGCGCACTCCAATCCGATCAACTCGCAACCAATCGCCATATTATACAGTGCCGATACATAATGCATAAGGCTCGTCTCGCGCCTTCCCCGATTTATTATTTACCTTCCCCGCTCGAACAAACTAATCATTTATTTGCAACGTCAAGACGTATCAATATTTAAATGCGTGTCTGCGGGATCGGGAGTGTCTCCCTGCGAACGGAATATAAGGATATACGAGGTGCAGATGACGGTAAATCTCCGTGCGCGGAATATATAACGCATAAAGTAGTGAAAGAATGTAATAAGAGCCCTTCTGCCTCTACGGAATATAATAATTTTCACTGTATGAAACGTCACAGGCAGACTCCTCGTTTAGATCTCAGACAAAAGACCTTATGTCAGAAAAATCGTCATTTCACTTTGCGACATTTAAGTAGCTTTTAACAGAAAAGCATACATCTTTTTTAGCATTTAGCGAGATCGCTTGTCGTTAGCTCTATAATTTGATGTGTTAATAACGATTTACCGTTCGATTTGAGCGTAGCGTTAAACTTGCAATCACGGAGCGTTACTGTTAATTAATAAGATCACTATTGTTATCTATGGCATTTAGCAGGTTGGTAATCGATTTGTTGTGTACGAACGTTACGCTTAATCAACCATTGGATCTCATACTGCATTTGTACAGAGATCCGGATCTGTT